AACAAAGAGAATACATGGACACAGAGAAGGTAACATCACACACTGGGGCCTGTTGGGGGGAGTGGGGGCCTAGGGAAGGGACAGCATTAGGAGAAATACCTAATGTAGATGACAGGTTAATGGGTGCAGCAAACCACCATGGCACGTGTATACCTATGTAACAAACCACGTTCTGCACATGTACCCCAGAACTTAAGGTATAATTAAAAAAAGATACTTCAGAGAAATATAAAAAGCTTTGTATCACTGTAATCAAAACCTTTGCTACTTAAATTCTGTCTATTCCTTGAGAACTCAGCCTTTGTCTAAGAGTGGCAACGTCATCAGAAAGAAAGTCAAACTTTTTAAAAAGTGTTCTTGGTTTGATTGTACAGGTGACCCCCACAACTCAACTCCACCAGCCCATTTAAATAAATTCCCTCTGCAGGTTTTACTATACATTTTTGAAAATGTTATTTTTTGTAAAGACAGGGTCTTACAATGTTTCCCAGGCTGGTTTTGAACTCCGGGACTCAAGCGATTCTCCTGCCTCAGCCTCCCGAAGTGCTGGGATTACAGGCAAGAGCCAACAAGACCAGTCCCCTCTGCAGTTTTGGAAACTCCCATTTGTAGCCGATTATTCCAGTGTTACCTCTGGTCATAAGACAGTGCCATGGCCCGGATTCCTGCGTCACATCCTGGATAGGCAAAGAGCTGCTTGAGGTCCGACACCTGCCGGACCACGACCACTCCGCTGTCCCCTCCTGTGAGCAGGTACTGCCCATCTCGGCTCAGCTGGATGGCCTGTGAGACAGCAACATTCAGTAGAAATGAGGTTCTCGGAAACTTTCAGCCCCCACCCTGTGTTTGAGTCACTCTCACACCAGCTACTGTGGTTCAGGGAGAAGAGAGAGAGATCCTCAGGAGCTTTTAGAAAATCATGAGTTGTAGAAGATCTGCCATTTTTCAAAAACCAAATGGACAAAGTTTGGCAATGGTTGAGATACTTTTGGCTTTGCTTTTTTAAAGACTGAGTAGCAAACTCTTCCAGTTCTACAAATGCTACTAGAATGGTGGTGTGTGTTGTGGACTGGGACCGGTGCTCTTAACGAGAAGCCCTGGCATCTCTTCATTTGCACTGCGGACATGCCAATAAGCCTGTTAGTCCCAAGACTTGGCAGATGGTGCCGCCTGACCTCACATCCCCTCTAATCCCCTGCTGGGTGCGACTCCGGCCGGAGGGAGGCAGCCAGCAACCTTGGCACCTTCCCTGAGCCTGTTGGATTTTGACAGCAGTTGGGAAGAAGACTTGGTAGAGAGCTGCAACTTCCAGGGTGACTAAATCCCAGTTCAGCATTTTCTTGCTCCAGGGCTGACAGTGCTCCAGCCTGTGGTTTAGTCAGCTCTAGGCTGTGCCCCTCTGTCCTTTCCTACTAGTGCTGAACAGACAGTACAGGCTCAGAATTTGCTCTTTGATCCTGTAAAATGGGCATCCACAAATGAAAGCCTGTGGGCCAAATGCAGCCCACTGCCTGTTTCGTATAACTGTTTGTTTTAACATGTTTCAGTGCTTGAATTTTTCATGACACATGAATATTTATATGAATTCCAAATCTGAACCCCCATAAACAGGTTTTTTTTGTTTGTTTGTTTTTGAGGCAGGGTCTTGCTCTGTCACCCAGGCTGTAGTGCAGGGATGCGATCTTGGCTCACTACAAGCTCCACTTCTCAGGTTCAAGTGATTCTCATGCCTCAACCTCCTGAGCAGTTGGGATTACAGGTGCCCACCACAACACCCAGTTAATTTTTGTATTTTTAGTAGAGACGGGGTTTCACCATGTTGGTCAGGCTGGTCTCAAACTCCTGACCTCAAGTGCTCCACCCCCGCCTTGGCATCCCAAAGTGCTGGGATTACAGGCAAGAACCACCACGCCTGGCCTTCCATAAATAAAGTTTTACTGGAACATCGCAACACCCATTTGTTTATGACTACTTTCACAGATAGTTGCAACAGAGAATGTAGAACCCTCAAAGCCTAAAATATTTACTTTCTGTCCATTTATAGAAAAAGTGTGGTAACTCCTAATTATCCCTCCCTACTCCAAAAGCCAATCCTATTACCCCTTCCTCTCCTCCTGCCTGGTACCTCCAAGCCTTGTTTTCTTAGCTTATTAAGATACAAATTTCCTTTCTTTAGTGGATGGCATCGGAGTTTTAAAGCCACTACAAACACCTGTAATCGCATGTCCACCTGGGTGCAGGGGAATACAGATTGTGCTGGCAAGCCAGAAAGAAAAATACCTAATTTCTGATACATTCGCACTGTTCTACATTCAGTTCTAGTATAGCTGCCTTAAGTCTTCACTCTTTGACATATTTTTTAAAAAATCATAGAAAGGTAAAGACTTCCTTAGCCATTTAATTCACATTCACCCAAATGCCAACTTTTAGTAGTCTCTTAAATACAGCTTATTCTCAAGAACACAAAAACACATCTAGGAAATAAAAACCCATGTGTGGAAGACAGTTGCATATTCTCTAAGTCTCGTTAACTAAACACAGATATTAAGATATTTTCAAGATGAGCAAAAATCAATATCCTTTTCCCCCATTCATTTCACAAATGGCAATCTCTAGGGCTGTCTGGGAACTGCAATGAAACTAGGACAAACAACTATTTGCTACACATAAAATTCAGCTGATGAAAATCCATTAACCTTATGGTTGTGGTTCACTTGAATTTTATACTTAAGCTTTTTACTGGATAAGTGTTACACCGAAACAAATTAAAACCATTAATCTTTAATTCTCTGTTCTAGTAAAGAATTTCTAATCCTGCTTCCATCTGAAATTAAGTAAAACCTGGGCTTTAGGGACTATACAGTCATCAGCATTCAAAACATTTTAATGAACCAGATGCCTCCCAAGGTGAAAAAAGATTTCGCTGCCCTCTTTCATGAGAGGCCAAATTCCTCTTGGCAGCAAGAGCCAGAGTAACATTTAGCAAGCAGCACCTGATCTTCCACTCAAATACTGACAGGCCGCCTCTGCATCCAGGTTGGGGTGTTACTAGAGGGAAACCTCTGGAAACGTGCCCAGAGACACGTTAATCTCATCCCCTGAAATCCTGAGTGCTGTGGACAGCGCCGTGGCTGCAGGGGTTTTAAGGAGGTAGCAGCAGGCCACAGCAGTCTGCTGGGGATGACCACATCCTAAAACACAGCCTCAGGAAGGGAAAACAAATGCGTTCCCCTGGGTGAGTGGTGGTTCTCCCTTGTTTAGGATAAAATAACTGTGCTGCTCTGTACAGGCTGCCTCCTTAAATATCAGCTATTCATAAAGACATCTCAACACTGTCTAGTTGATGGACTATGATATGCTGCTAACCAAAATGCCACAGAGCAATCTGGCATCTAAAATAAAAATAGGTGGGAAGCCTTGATTAGTGCAGAGCTTCCCCAGGCTTCCTGCCTGCAGGGTTCTTGGTATTTCACAGAAATTTAATTTCTGGTCTGAGCTGATGACTAATTTGTTTCCATGGTGCCCATTCCTTATACGGGCTCAGATTGAGGGTGGAGCTGGAGATTCTGCTCTGTAGTGCCTTGGATTCCCAGCCTGTGGCTGCCTTCCTTGCCTCCCGAGTAGTGAGCGGTGAAAGTATCAGTCTCTGGAGCTGCGGGCAGGTACTGCTCATTTTAGGCAAGCTCGCTTTAGTCACACAGCTGCCACTTGCAAGCTAGCATGATAAAGTGCAGGAGTGCTGGGAAAAAGGCAATGGATTGTTTAAGCCTAAACTCCAGCGGGAAATATTATGGAGGGAAAAAGCGATGGCTACAGGGCAGAGAGGAGAAGCATGTGTGCACGAATGGTCTGCAGAAAGCCTCCCACTGCTGCCTCAAGGAACTTCCCAGAGCCCCTGGTACTAACTGAAATGCCACAGAAATTGCTTCAGTCAGCTGGGGACCTCAAATTATTTTACAGATTTATTAGCGTAGCTGACAATATAATCGCAACTCAAAGTGACAGATTATCCACATTATTATTGTAAAGAAAAGAGGAAAAGAAAATCCTCTGATGTGTAGTTGGTTTAAATGCAGCATTATGGGAAGGTAGGGAAAAATAAAAGCGAGTTCGAGTGTGTCTGTGTGCGTGCCTCGTGGTGGAGGCTGGCAGAGTGCAATGGAGAGGCCACAGAGAATGGTGGAGACACAAGAAGGAAGCCATCCACTGAATCAAGAAATGAATCCCAGGAGACACAGCAGCGAGGGTCCTTCATTTCCTCATGTAATCTGTATGTAGGAGCTTTGTTCCCTGACACCAGTATTTACTTAGGAGAAGGGGGTGATCAGACCAGATCTGGGAAAGTGGGAGAATTTATGTCATCTAAGCTGCCTAGGTCAGGAATAGCAGTGAGTGAAATATCCAGAGCTAGCCCAAAGCCAGGGTAGAAGCCCCTGTGATCCTACTCCTGCCTCCAACATGTCCTGGGTCCCCTCATTGTATATAGCTCCCGTGCCCCACCAGCCTGATTCTGGAAAATGAAGACCACCCCAGCTGTATTTTACTTTAACCTTCACCAAGGAGTTTGGAGGTAAGAAACAAAGGACCTTGACAAACTAGCCTCTGAAAATAACAGTTCTTACTCTTTTTCTCAATGTCTAATACTTGTGGAGTCCTATACTGGAGAGGAAGCAAGAGCCCGGAAGGTCCACTGGTGGTGCCATTTCCGGTAGACCCAATGGGAAAAAATGCCTGCCTAATTCATAATTTGAAGCCCAACTTCCTTAACATGTTTTGGACTTATTCATGAAGAAGTCATATCTGAAATTAATAATCCTAAATAGTCATAATCCCTACTGGTCCCACCACCAAGCTATTCAGATGTAAAGAGACTCCAGTTTTAAGTATCATCTAATGTACTATTTCAGCTTTCATACTCAGAAAACAATGTGCAGTGTGTTTTCTAGAAAAAAAAAAATGAGCAGTGCCAGTGAAAGCCACCCAGGATGGCTTCAGAAGCCCCTAAGGAAACCTCTTCTATTGAAGGACCAGCCTCAGCTGTGCCGCATGTATGTGTACTTGGTTTAAATGCAGCCAGCATTATGGGAAGGTAGGGAAAAATAAAAGCGAGTGTGAGTGTGTCTGTGTGCCTGCCTCATGGTGGAGGCTGGCAACTGGCCTCATCCACAGCTGGCACTGCTGTGGTGTGCGAAGTGTGTGAGCCTTGTCTGAGTGCTACCTAAAGATTTTTTGTTGGTGTGGAAAAGAGGCCCTCGGCAACCCAAAAATAGAGGTTTCTTTCACGAACCCTTTCCCTCCCCACTTGACACGAGTTGAGGTAAGAGTCCCCAGGGCACTCACTCTTATGTTATCTTCTGTTTCCATCGTGGCCTGGAGTTTTCCATTCACACTGAATGTACAGAAGAGGCCGTTTTCATAGAATATGACACAATGACCCTCTCTTGAAGCCTGAATGAGTTTTGGTTTCAGGCAGTTTTCAGGACCCTCCAAGGTCCTCAACAAGTCTCCATTCATGGAATGTATGAGACATGGTCCTTCTGAGAAACAAAAGGCAAAATTATTTAATGAAAACAGACAAATACAATCTGAATCTTGAGCACAGATCAAACAGGATTCTAGAACCACACTATAGATGTAGAAAGCCTTTGAAAAACTTCCATCTTACGTGTAAATTATTTTGCAAAACCTCTTCATGTTTGCCAGATCTCACCTTCCACTCAGGAGAGAAGCCAAATCATGTAAGTCCAAGTTCACTTTCCTCAAGAGACAGGAAGTTAGTCTGTGAAATTCATTATGCTAAAAGGCAATACAAACTGGAGGAACTGGGAAATAGCATAAGCTTCAAATTCTAACACAGCTTCAAGAAGGCTGGGATGCAAACAAACAAGGGCTGTGGGCAGCCACACTAAGACCTCTCCTTGCAGGATACCTTGCAGGAGCCCTGACAGCCACCGCACCGTGGGCCTGTGCAGGGACAGCCAGTTCAAGCAGCCTCTGAGGGCCTTAGCCACCTTCTTTACAACTGCTCACTACTTTTTTACACTGAAAGGAGGTCCCTGGCAGTTCTTCTCAACCTCCAAAAAATTCACACAGGAACCCTTCAGCCACTCTCCTTGGCAACTGAGTGAGTCCACCTCCCTGCTGCCTCCACAGCAAGCAGCAGCATCCACCACTCCCAACACCTGGGCGGACCACCAGGCCAAGGTGCCAGAGGAGAACAGGCAGCTGCTGGGAGCCCACACACAGCCAAGCTTTTTGTTTCTATTGAGTATCCGCTACATGCAAAGCAAAGAAGGAATAAGGAACAAAGATTGCTTGTGTGATGAGCAAGTTCCAAGAGATAGTCAGATAACAGGGGTCACTGGGGTATGTGCCCTGCTACTCTTCTGGCTAAATTACTCATGACCACATGGAATTGTTGCCTTTTCCCCGCAATGACTACTGAAAGCTTGCCCTTTTAAAAATAAGGCTTTTAGCTCTTTCTTGACCACTCAGGTAGTTTATAAATTTTTGAAATATCCACAGGCAGTCTTTGCTTTACACAGTTCCAGCATGCATGAATTTCAGTTATCACTCCTTAAATAACACCAGCCCTCCAATAACATAGTTCAAATTTAGGTTGTCACAGTAATTACATAAAGTATGCACTTTTGTGGTTAGCTCTTCAGTCCACAAATCACTATATAAATAACAGATGTGCATCATCATCATCAGTGACCAATCACATCACTCCTTTCAAAATATGTCAATGACTGCTCACTGCATATCTGTTATTCAGGTCACACACAGACAGCAAACTGTGCAGCTGTGTTGCTTTTTGTCTCCCAGTGATAAAGTCATATAATATTTCACAAAAATGGATAATCAAAAAAGGGTATTGGCCAACAAAGATGAAACTGCAGTAAAGAATGGAAAGTGATAAAGCTGAAGGTACAATTTGAGTTGAATATAAATGGGGTTATAGAAGAAAGAGCTGCTTGTGGGATGCTGACCCTGCTGAGACACTGTAGATATGCAGCCAGGAAGGGAATGAAGGAACTTACCAGTGTAAGTTAGGGAAGAAGGTGTAACAAAGATGTCCCAGAATTGAAACCAGCAAAAGCCTCACATTAAAGGAATTCTAGGGAATATTTCATGACATTGAAAGCACAAAAGATGAAATGTTAGACGGTGATCCCAACTTAGAGTATGACAGCTCCCCAAGGCATAGAAAAGATGCTAGCTCCTTAACATGTATATAACAAGTATATTACATGTCTATAACAAGTTCAAACTACTCTTGATACGTTTTTCATAAGTAATTATCAATGTATCAAATGTTTTAAATTACAATGTATTAAGTACATGTGAGTTTTACTACCTTTTTCATGTTATATGTATAACTGAGTATGAGTTTTTAATGTTTCGACAAAATTATTATTAGAGACAGGGTTTTGCTCTGTCACCAGGCTGGAGTGCAGTGGCATGATTATGGCTCACTACAGCCTTCACCTCCTGCAGTCCTCCCACCTCACCTTCCCAAGCAGCTGAGACTACAGGTATGCACCACCATGCCCAGCTAATTCTTAATTTTTTTGTAGAGGTGCGGGTCTCACTATGTTGCCAGACTGGTCTCAAACTCCTGGCCTCAAATGATGTTCCCACCTTATCCTCCCAAAATGTTGGGATTCAGGCATGAACTACCGTGCCCAGCCTGACAAAAATTTTTAAAGACAATGGAACAATTGTAAAATTGACCAATGATTATTCAGATCACTTTGTTTGGTTTCAGTTTGCATGCTCGCTTTTACAGTTCCATACTACTGTGCAAAGAACAGATGACCTGTAATATAATAGGTTCATTTTACGACTCCTGTTGGCTCAGGATGTATGAAATGATTGAGTATAAGGGAAAAATCCAGTGGTTATAGAATTCTTGCTATCATTATTATTATTTCAATGTTTTGACCAAATTTATAAACACAATCCTTTAAATATTTAAAACACCTTGTTAGCCAGACTATTATACTTTAGGACACAGGTAAGGTGATCCAAATACTCTGTTTCCCCACCAGATAAACCTAAAAGACGTGAGATACAGTACTTTGTTCTGTGTTCAGACAGCTCAGAGCAGAGACAGAGAGACGGATAGACTATTACGATGGGATAAGCAACGAATTGGAAACAGCTCCGTTCCTAGTCAGATCCTGATTTGCTGCGTGTGCTTTTAGCTTGCTTATTATCTTGGGCCTAAATATATGATGCTGTTTCCAGCACAAACCTCCAGGCAAACCAGCTTAAGTATCTTTCTACTCCACTCTCAATGCCATTGTGGCCCCTGCCTCATTAAAACAGACAGGGTCAGGGGCTTCCGTTCAGATGTAAGATGGAACCTGGCCCAGTAACAGTGCAGAAGAATAAACAAATATACAAAGATGTTCCTTGTTCCTGCTTCATGGGAATATGAATATTAACAGGATATGTTTGTAAACACACCTTAAACTCTTCAGAGCAGTGCTGTGAAACAGAACTTTCTACAGTGATGGAAATGATCTGTATCTGTGCTGTCCAATGTGGTGGCCACTAGCTGTATGTGAGTACTGAGCCCCTGAAGTGTGGCTAGTGCCACCAAGAAACCTACATTTTAATTTTATTGAACTTTAAATAATTTAAATAGTTCCATATGACTAATGGCTAGCATAACAGACAGAAGCTTTAGAAAAGAGGTACCAAATTAATCTTTGGTAATTTGTTTCTAGAAGACAGCACGAAATGCATCCATTTTGTGAAGGTACCACAGGTTTACCTTGTGAACCACTCAACACCAGGCCTAGCTCAGCACAGACCGCAGCACATGTGACCTCATAGTCATGGCCTGTCAAAATGGCCCGAGGAGCAGCAATCTCACCTTTAGGAAAAAACAGATGAAAAGAACAAATCAATTCAAGTTCATGCAGATTAAATGATCAACAACTTGCTCCTAATTCCCATCATGCCTATTTAATTTATAGTTTGGGAATTTGTCCAGCAATCCTACTTTAGGACTCGATCCAAGTTATATACTATAGTTTGATTATGAGGACCACATCCTGCTAAAATGTCAAGTAACCTTTATGTAATTATCAAGCAACAATGGTTGAAAACTCAGGGTTAAATACAACAAAATCTGCATTCCAAAATGCCTCATAAAAAATTAGCCCCTCAATTAGATGTTTTATGGTCAGATGACTATAAAATTAGGAACTTTGGCTCAATTTACATTTCAAAGAAAGGCCTTGCCCCTCCCTCGCCCCTCCTTATCCTCTGCGGACCGCTGAAACCCATCATAATGAAGATAGTCTGAACTAGACTTCCGCTACCTCCACAGGAACTCTGCAGCCCCTCTCTTAAATACCTATTCTCTCTACTAAGCTTATGTATTTTTCTGATGTATGAATTTCATGGGTATATTTCTCTGTAGTTCATTCAAAGAACCAAAAATAATAATAATAATAAAAACCTAAAAAAACCAAACCCTTACAGATAAGTCTACAGATAGTGACTGAAAATGAGGGGCGGTGGGTGGAGAAGGGGGGACAGAGGAGGAGTATCCAAAAAACGGCAGATGTTGCCGAATACTTTCACAAGTAGAAAGAACAAGTCATACTGTATGTCTGTCCTAGACTAAAAAGAAAAAGTACGGTTGGTTGGTTGGTTGGCTGGTTGGCTGGTTAATAAGGAACTCACCATGACTAGATAAAACGGTAATGACCTTGATTTGTTGATTGGTTCATGCCAAGCCACAAGGATAAATCGGATTCCATGTCTAGCCTGAAGAATACGATTTGAAAACTAAAGGAATCCTCTACTTTTATAGTCTCTAAAGGTAAAGACACAAAAAGTCTTTCCAAGTGGAGAGCAGGATTCTATTAGCATTCTTGATTTCTTGATTTGGATTTGTTTTATAGTATGCTTGATAACTAACACTGTGTAATCCAGAAGAGACAAATGTGCCCACAGAGTAGGTGGCTACCAGCAGCTGTGGAACTCTGTGGAAGAGAATTGCTTGTATCTTAACCCCAGACAGCTGACTATCCTTGGAGCAGTCAGCCACTCAGAGGAAAGACGTCCAGCAGTTCAGAAGAAACCCACTGAAAACCTGCTGTACTTGGAATGCTGCCGTCAAAAAACTAACCTGGCTTCCAAAGTGGGGGTTCTTCCAGTAGGTCACTGGGTTATTTGAAATTTTATGCAAAATGTATCTACATGCCTGTTTTTCTAGGTAGCAGGGGAGGAAAACAAGTTTTACTGAATGGACAGAAGTCCATGACCAAGAAAAGCTGAGAGGCTTCTACCCTGAAGAGAGGTCTAGTCTCTGCTTGTAGCCCCACTTCACCTGGAGCCAGCAGTCACTTCAGGTGTAGCCTTCCACACGACAGTTCCAATGCATGTACCAGAGTACATAATACAGGGCCATGTCCCCGCAGTGTCCTTCAAGGCTTTGGTGACTGTAGGTAATTCTGAGTGGGACTTAAGTTGAAGGGATGTCACACAGAACTCTGCACCACACTGGCAGTGCTATGTGCAGCCAGCCGCTGGACCTGGCCTACAGACTTAGTGATAAAGGGAGACCGAAAGTGACATACGAATAGGCAAGGGGATAGGCAGAACAACGGGCTTCGTTTCATTTGATTCCAAGTTTTAAAACTTCTCTGGGAGGCAAACCTACCTTAATTAGAAAGTTTTCTTGACATTTCCCAAGCCACAAAGAATTTGTCACAAGAGCAATTTTGTTTCTTACAAAGTCCAGAAATTTGGGAAAATTTTAAAGAAATAAAGCAAATAAGCAAATAATGTAAGTCAATCTGAACTACTTAAGCTTCTGTTAGGATCCACAAATTTTAGGAATAAGTATACTGTTTTAAAAAATTATTGGCCAGGTGCAGTGACTCATGCCTGTAATCCCAGCACTTTGGGAGGCCAAGGCGGGCAGATCACCTGAGATTAGGAGTTTGAGACCAGTCTGGCCAACATGGTAAAACCCTGCCTCTACTAAAAATACAAAAAATTAGTTTGGTGTGGTGGTGTGTGCCTCTAATCCCAGTTACTCGGGAGGCTGAGGTAGGAGAATCGCTTGAACCTGGGTAGAGGTTGCAGTGAGCCGAGATTGTGCCACTGCACTCCAGCCTGGGTGACAGAGCAAGACTCCATCTCAAAAAAATAATAAAATAAGTTATCAATACTTTAGCCCTGATTCTTGATTTCCCTTTTCCCCAGAAGGCTGTACATTCCACAAAAATACCATACAATGTTGTTTCTGAAATTACTGTCTAATTAGATCCATTGGCAACTTTTTTTTTTTTTTAACCAGCAATTAAAATCATTAAGATCTAAGGGAATATATTTTTGGTGTAATTGTTGGGTTTTTTTTGTTGTTGTTTTTATAAGTTACCATTTCATGGATGGTGAAATTTGTGTTTTAACTTGAATTGTCTTGGAATTCCTCAGTGAAAAGTGAAGGTTTGAAGGAAAACTGATGTCAAATGAAGGCATTCTAAGTATAAGACAAAGTAAACAAAGGACAGATAGATAATGGTGGTCCCAGAGGACAACGTCACTTAAGCACATCAGTGCTAACTTATTGTTTTCTCAGAAGCATGGTGGAAGAAGGGAGAGGACTGCTGTCAATTTTCTTTCTTTCTTTAATGTAAAAGAGTTGAAATACTGAGAGTTTTCTACGACTATAAAGTTAAAAGTTTAGGAAGCCTCGTGATTAACCCCAGAAGGTGGGTTAAGATGCAAGCATAATTTTGTTTTTTGTAAACTCATAAGATTTTTATCATCATGCTTTGCTTACAAAATACTAGTTTCCAATAATCCAAACTTTATTAAATCATTTTTCACTCCACAAATCAGAACACACACACATGCAGAGTAATTTCAAAACTGAAAAAGAATTTCTTCTTTCCCTAGGGCCTGATCTCTAAATAAGGAACTGTTCAGTGCTAGGACTTTGGCTTCAAAGTTTGGCAAAATGTTTGCTAATCCCGGAAGCAGGTTAGACAGTTCAGGAAATACAAAAAAAAAAAAAGAAAGAGAGAGAGAGAGAGAGAGAAAGAAAACCAAATTAAAAGCATAAGGGTAGACTTATGATCATTAGGTTCTCAGGTAACTGGTTTCACAGTCACTGGATTTCCAGTAAAAAAGACAGTGCTACTTAACTTTCCTCACCTATAAGAAATGTACATTACTGGCCTCTATAAACCCACATACAACAATATAAGGAGAGATATCATGTCATTCCTCTAAGAAAAGCTGTTTCCAATCTTCTTTAAAGATTGTATTCCCTTTATTATCTGCTGTACAGATTGAGCATTCTTTACATTTTCTACTTATCAAAAAGTACATTCAAAATAAATACCTACTATTTGATTTTTATAAGTTTTATAATAAAGAGCTTGAAATAGTTACACTTCAGTATAGCAAATATGAGATATGGGATTTAAATCAAACAGGTCAAAACTGTTTAAGTTCAATGGACATTTTGGGAACCACTTGTAATGAAATTACTGAGGGTAGTGGAGATAATCGGAGGCAGAGCAGAGGCTTTACATGTGGCTCACAGAATCTTTTTATGTCTCTGTAGTTACACTGTATACATCATCCTGGATCACAGCAGAGCCCAAGTGACGACATCCCACAGAAAGGAAAGGCAAAATCCCTCCATATCTATGTACATTTCTGTTTGGAAAGCCTAGAAACAAAATCTTGGAACCATATAACTCATTCTCACTGCAGTATTCTCAGAAATCTGCCTCTCCCAACTACTTGTCAGTCACGTAGATTTTAATACCCAGCAAGAAATAATCAGCTCAAACAAGATGATTCTGGCCATATATTACTTTTCAAAGATGCCAAAGCTATCAATAATCTCTCATTGCAGTCTCTAAACCGAATGAAGAGCAAAAAAAAAAAAAAAAGTCTTCTCAAAAATATCAAGTTAATTCTTTTGATAAAAATGTGCAATAGTTAAGGGATACAAAAAGTCTTTACCTTTGCTTTCTGAGATAGTAGGATCTACCAAAGGCTAGACCATAAAGCAGAACAGATTCCCTTAAGAACCTTTTAAAGTCTTACTGCTTGAAAAATTGTCATGGCCTTCAATAATGCTGAGAGAAAAATTTATCTTGCTGCTAGTTTAAGGGACTACACTTCAAACTCTTCTTAAAGAAAAATAAAAAGAGAAAGAGTACAGACTTCTAGGACTGCTTTGAAAAGCTTGAGCAATTACTTCAAAGGAAAGGGTGTCTTTGTCCGGAGAGCAGGTTTATGACTACTGATGCAAATCCTAACCAAAGGCTGAAAAGGATACTGAGTGCATCTTTATGGTTGGCCTTAAAGGAAGATGAACAAGTCAAATGAGATTAAAGACAGCCCAAATTCTGCTGCAAATACCAGGGCACATCAGGTTTTACAGAGGCACTTCTCTCAGTACATAATACTAGATATCAATACCAACTTACAGAGACAATTATAACAACCTAACTTGCATTCAAGCAACACAAGATCTCTATAATGACCACTTAGCATTTATACTGGACTTACGTTTTAAAACATTAGGTGAAATATTTTAACACCACTAGGCAGAATAGCAAATGCTTTTATTAGTTGTGTTTCTCTGGTGCCCTCACAACATTAAGTATATTTATCAAACAGACTGCGAACCACTTAAAATTACACCTGAAAGAAGAGAAGAGGAAAGAGGAATTTCTCTAGTATCTTGCTTATAAATATTCAGTGAGAAGAATATTTCATAAGGTCTATATCCATTAGGGAAAAGAGGTGACAATCCAGGTAAAAATAGATCCGACATGTATTTCTGGCAAACTTGTAGTTACTTTTTAAACAGTGAATAAAGTTCTCGGTGTT